ACTCAATGAACCAGTATTTCCCCAACTAACCAATATGTGATGTTACAAAACCATGAACAGGTGGAAAGATTCAAAGTGCAAGATAATAGATCTTAAGGTAACAAGAAATGAAAAATTAATCAATATGGTTTCGGATCTGACATTGAGCTAACCTTTAAAAAACTACTACTTGTCAAATTTTGGTGTGCTAGCAAAGAATATTCATAATCCTCTTTAATTAAAGGCTATGAAAATACTCCCTTTTCCAACCACATATCTATATAATGCTAAGTTTTCTTCATATATTTCAACTAAAACAACATATTGCAAGAAGTAGATATGACAATCAAGCTGTTTTCTCTTCAACTAGACATGAGACTTGCAAAAATATGTAACAATGCCACTCTTTTTACTAAAGATTTGCTTTGAAAAACTTTTTTTTTTTAATTATTAAAACAGTGTTATGTTAACATGCAATGGTTTGTTATTTTAAATTAATTAAAAATTTTTTCTAATATGGGAAATATAATTTTAAAAATTTCCTATTATGGGAACTATAATAAATATAACCCACATAAACCAAAGCTTTTGGGATTCTCAGTAATTTGTAAGAATATAAAGAGATCCTAAGACCAAGAAGTTTGAGAAACGCTGCCTTTGAGCTATTTACTTGTAATTATACTATGCTATAATAGAATTGACTCCCCCTCAGGACAAATGAAATGTATAAGGCACTCTGCCCCAAAGCAAGCTGTAAGACCACTCTATTTTCAAAGTTTTCAGTATGCTTGCTTCCTTTTTCCTATTCCTTCACTGTAACACAGCAGGCCATAATTTTATGACGCTGTCAAAGTGCTTCTCTCACCCCTTCAAGTACACCAAAAAGACAACTGCATCAAAGGCAGTTGCAACAGCTTACTATCTACAAAATGAAATGGGCTCTGAAGAAGGATGTCCCTATGAATGAAGTCCCCAGACTTTACTATATCCACTTTGATTACTTAGATGTCTTTTTGGTTATCTAGTTTTTCTACTACATTCCATGTACCTAAAGTCACAGAAAAACCACCTCCATAAAGTAGAATCTTCTTTTATTGACTTAATTTTCACATATTGTTTTCTATTGTCTTACACACTGCCATTTATAAAGCCTGGCAAGGCCTTTATCCAATGGTGCCTGGAACAAAACTTGAAGTGGCAAGAATAAAGTGAGCGACAGAATTCTACTATGCTTATTTCATATTTCAAAGGAAGGCAATTTAAAAATTTTAGGAACATTTACAGGGAAGACATCTAACTTTGAGAGGTAGGACAGAAAGGAAAAAGAACAAAATGGAGAAGGAACAAAGATAAAAGCTTGTGTTTTAAAAGGCCAAATAATAATAACACAAGAAGGTACAGGGGTTGTACAGAGTCTTAATCTAATAATACGTAACAATCTGATCTTAACAGAGGTAATTCTGGGGATGAAAAATAATTGAGGAAACAAAGTACAAATAAAAAACAAAATATAATAATAAATAAAATTAAAATACTGCAACGTAAACTGAGTTGGAATGCAAAAGCAATATTCGGAATCACATGGGGCTGATCAAATAATTTTCTACTCATGTTTCAATCTTTTTTTAGGTGATAAACATAGACTAATAAAGTTTAGAAAGGAGAGAGAGGCAAAATAAAATTAAGAAACAACAGCTGAACATGAAGAAAGTGGGGAGTAAATGAAGCTAACTATAAAAATAGGAAGCTAAAAAAATTAGAAGAGAACACTGATTTAGATTGCTTTTTTACAATTAGAGAACCTAAGACAGAGGAGAAAGCTAAAAGGTAAATCTGAAACATGGGTGTAGCATGGTTCAAGTGTTAGTGATAGGCACCAAGGGGAAAAAAATAATGTGGAATAAATCAAAGAAAAGTGGAAGACAGAAGTGCTAAGCTTATTTCCTTAGAAAATTCAAACGCAGATATTACAGAGTATAATTAATGTATATATTTTCTATGCAAGAGCAAACTGTGTGCTTTCAAAACTGGAATCACCTATTGGGAACAACTAAACACAGGTACAATACATGTTGTCAGGAAAGGGAAAAAGACATCTTTAGGACTTTTTCTGGTGTTCCCAGAAAAAAACAAAGCATGTAACAGAGAGAAATGGATAGGCAAGGAAAAGAGTCAAAATAAAAATGCAAGCAACAAAGTGTGTTAGAAGTAGCAATTACAAAAAGAAAATCACTTTGCTATCTAACACCACTAAAAGTCTGCGTTATCCCAAATACTTTGTAAACACTGCCATAGTCCATTTCTAAACTCAAAACAGCTTAAACCCTTAAATCATGATATCTATAATCAATTATTTAAAATAAATGCCAAAATATGCACCCAATTTTCTGAAAATTTAAAGTATGTTTATTAAAGTAAGGTATCGTTTACTACCAAGAGTTTAGTTCCAATATCTCTAAAGTAACTAAACTTCAGAAATTTGCCAATGACATATGTAAATGTCTCTATAGTTATCACTTCATTAAGTAACATGCAATAAAAATTTGGTTTCCATATTTGAACCTCTGTAAGCTAGAAACACATGAAAAGTTTGCAACAGCTTGTTCTCAAACAGCAGGCAGACTTCATAACGTAATACTTGAATCAGCTGAAGGATTTAAGTTTATCACTATTGAAAACTCCTAAGTACCTTCAATAAACAGTGCCATTAAATGTGCATTTCGCGCAACATAAGCAAACACTTTGGAAATACTCTAGATTTGCCAACTTAATCTAAGAAAACTCACACAATACTAAGAAAAATATCCAAAATTTGAAGTCACTTAAAAATATTTTAACTGATTATCATTTCTTTAACCTCTTTCCAAACCACTGTCACATTTTAAACAAGGCGTTGAAAAATGTTTATAGTTTGATAATTGTATGAAGTCTAACATTCGTTAAGTGTTAAACTAACAAAATCCTAAGGAAATCAAAGTAAATTTTGCTTATTGAGAGGAAAAAGGGAATTAAAGGCAACTACAAAGGTGAACAACCTTGCTTTTAAAAACTGTGTTGTCCACATCTAAACATATTATTGCTCCCTCAAGAAAAAAAAGAACTAGGTCTTTTAAAACAGATTTAAGTAGTTATTTTTGAGTGCTATGATACTTTTCATATGCAAAATTTACTAATTCAGAGAAACATCTTTATAAAGTGATAATTCTCTACTAAAGACTTGTTCTATTAAGGCTTTGTTGCTCTGAGGCCAAGTATAAGCCATATAAGGAAAATGAAGTTCAGTGCCATTTATTTTGTTCCGCTCTTTCAGATGCCCAAGAATAACCTCTTTTACTGCCTAATGATACGTTCCAAAATCATAAAGTAGATCAGTTATGCACTTAAATTCCTTGATAAAGTTACTTTGACTTAACAAGAATTTCTTGATGGTTCACAAATCTTACCAACAACCTAAAAGAAAATCTCCAGAGACTAAACTCGGTGGGGGGGGAGGGGAGGATCAAAATAATATACAGTAATAGTTAAAAGAATCCCATTTTGAAATGTACTTAATAAAGTAACAATGAACAAATTGTGAAAAAAAATTGATCCTGCTCTTTAAAACCTGCCTTTTCTCTTCCTTGAACTAAAGAAGCCAACAGTTTTTCTTTGGGTAACATGGACAAACCAAGCAATTTATATTTAAGACATACTTACCAACAGAATACCATATTTACCTAATAATTATTCAGAAGCACAACATTATCATTCACCTCCCTCTACCACAAAGCACTGGAAAAAAAATCAAAATTTAAAAGACACCACTAAAGAGACATTTCGTGTTTGCTGCGCCCAGAACTAGTTTAATCTATAAAAACTGCCCATTGGTTGAGAATTGTTTATAACTCTGGTGGAATGTCTGCCATGCTTCACTAATTCCTACCCCCAGAGTGGGTTACCTATCACTTATTAGGCTGAATGGGCTAAAATATCAGGCCCAACACTAAAATGTAAATACTGTATTATTCAAAAAGCACAGCTGCTTAACCACAATCAATGTGATTCCCACGAAAATCGTTTTACTTCCCTTCCTACGTTCTGTTCTGAATTGTAGACAAGTCCTAACAAATTAAACCACTTACAGGTGTCCGTTTTCTAATTTTAACTCCCTCTTTATCCATAACGCTCCCTCCTTTTCCTTCCTACCAGGTCAGTAACAAGAAAAATCTAGCAGACACTTGCTTTAATTAATCAAACAACGAGGGAGGAGGGGAAGGTAGATGGGGCAAAGGGGGTCAATTATGTGGTGACAGAAAGAAATCTAACTATGGGAGGTGAACAGACAGTGTAAATATATATCCCTTACTGTTAAAATGTATAGCTGAAACTTTTCAGACTTTGTTAACCAATGTCACCATAAAAAAAATTTAATCGAACAAGTATTATAAGATTCTAAGTGTATGAAAGGAACAAGTTACTGAAAACATTACCAACCTAGAAAAACGACTAAAAATAGCAACGTTGTTTATAAAATCCAACGAAATATTTTGATATGGTTTAGAACTAAAAAACAACTACAAAAAAAACTGTACGATTAAACGCGAAAGTCAAATAATCGGTAACAATGTAAACAAATGTGGCAGCCATCTCAAAAAAAAGCAAATCACTCACTGTAACGACCTTTCTTCCAAAACAAAAGTTGCCAGGTTCAGCAACTTAATAAAAAAATATACATTGCATACGCTCCGGGAAACTAAAAGTTCTGGACTTTGTGCTGAACAAAGGCACGCTTTCTTCACTCTCTACGGATCGCTTAAAACTTTTCGTCCCACCGCATTCTTACGACCTCTTTTAAAATAACCACAGTCCAAAGGGTAGAAGAAGAGGAAAAAATCAGTTCTATTTAGCACCTGAAACGCTACCCAGTTCGACATTAGACAAGGAGAATTTAGGACAACTTGCGGAAAAGTGAAAAACATTAAAACAGTCTCTTTTCCGGCCCAGGAGCTTTGTGACTTCTAGACACCTTTCGTGACACTTACCTTTCGGTCGGGCAGTGTCTCAGGGCAGCTTTCTCAGGGCTTCGCCAGACATGATTTCCTTCCCTTCATTAGTCACTTTGGCTCCAGCCGAATCTCTCTCCGGTGAGAGCGGATGTGGAGTGGCCTCCCGCAGCAGGACGAGTAGGCTGCTTTGGTGGGGGCTGGGAAGCGGGCTGGTTTTCTGGTCTCGAGTTTTGCAGGAGTTTCCCAGCCCCAACTAGGATCTTCGCCGAAGGGGAAAAAAAAGAACTTTTCACTCGTGACACCGCCCGGAATTACCGTGCGAAACTCACTTCCTGCCTTGGCGAGAAGCAGGATCCAGCTCGGTCCAGGGGAACCCGGAAAACCAGCTCCGCGCGCTCCGCGGAGGGGGCAGGGAGGGGGCGCCCGCGGAGAGACTCCAGCCTCGAGCGACTCGAGCGACCCGA